ATTATCTTTCTTCCTTATCTTGGCATCAACCACGCTCAAAGATTTAAAGTTAATTACATGTAATACAGGTTGTCTGTGGACTTTATATTCTAATTCAATCTATTACATGTATTAGTACTGTGTAGTTAAGGCTAATTTAAACACCATGTTTTGTGTAAATTTTTGGCCTTATCAAACGTGAATACAAACATGTGTATGTGATCTACTGCTTGCAATTTATCTTATTCTATACTATAGGTAGAAGTAATCCGCAAATATACTGTAAATGGACATTATGTATACAATACACACATACGATATCGTCAAAGATTTACAGTTTTAAAATAAAGAAAATAAGGAATTCGACACACGAAGAAGACAAATAAATATGTCATCGTCAATCACCATTTTACATTTTCCTTTTTAGCCCTTCTTTTAGTTCTTCTGTTACAACTCCAAGCTTATTTTGTCTGCGGCGGCATCTCGTTAAATTATCAAATGAGGTAATTACATGTTTAACTCAGGCCTTCAAAAGATGTATACCCCAAGCAATCAAAGCTATCAATTATATAAACTGTGAAAACTAATCAAAACTGTTTGATCCACTACAACCATGCAATAGATCAAGTCTAACGGTACCTAAAATTAGGGAAATGTGTAAGTTAGTATACTAGTACATTTATAAATTATGAATCATTTATTTTCTATGCCTTTACTATGAGAATATATTCTATCAGAGTAACCGAATAGCAGTTTTACTAACCGATACTCGCATCGTTCGACGGTTAGCCGGTTAACCGGGTACTCGTTGCCAAAACACTTTTATTTACACATTCTATATAAATAGTTGTATTCAGCATATGAAATGAAGAAGTTATGACGTATGGCGTGTACAAACTTTGGAATAACATCATCAATATAATGTGATAAAATATTTTATCTAAAATGAATTTTCATGCACACATTTTAATTCCAATACATTTTGGGCAAAATTTCTGTATTTTAAATAAATTCTATTAAAATTATAGGTATGTTGATATCGCTGATGGAGAGGTACGGAGCACGACAAAAAAATTGAAGCAAAAACATGCAGAATCTTAAATTTAACTGATTAATTTTCTATAATTCGCAATATTTTTTCAAAAATTTTCTCAAATGTATCTTTAAATTGTTCTATTATTATGTATTTAGATTTCTGGCGTGATATTTGAAGTACTTTCAGAAATATAGTGATTTTTCTCTGATGTGATTCCTGTGAAAACGACTGTGAAAATGACGTCTCCTGAATTGACAACGCACCACTGTTACAACGCACTTTAAAAAATTACGCACTTTGAAAAAATTTTTCAAAGTGCGTTAAATTTTGGGACCAAGTCAACGCACTTTGAAAAAATAAAATTTCTTTTCAAAGTGAGTTAATATGGACCATATTAACGCACTTTGAAAAACTGTGTATAGATTTGTCAATATTCCTGCAAATCTTAGGTATGATAATTAATTGAACCTGTTTGATAATTCTTCTGTGAATAGGTCACTTCAGGATGTGAAAGTGAGCGATTTAGATTTTTCCTTACTTTGAAAAATTTTTCTCGCTTAAATGCTTTACTGTACTTAATTTTTTTCAAGTTTGCATGCATTTTATGTAAACTTAAATTTATTGAAAGTTTTCAACGTCATACCAGTTATGTAAACACATATATTTGGGTGTAGCATAGGCATCAGTACCGGAAAGGGGGGTTAAATGTAGGCATATAAATATTTTGCAAAGATACACATAATATATACATGTATGCATTAAAAATTGGGGTTTACCTGTGGGATCAACTTTCAATTTGCTACCGACGGCTATGTACAATGTTTAAGAAAACAAGAGTTGGGATGAGAGACCTTCTACTCGTCTTCTCCTTGTTCTCAATGAGGTTAAATGAGTTCATGTAAATTTAAAAAAAGTTTTTCGAAAGATATAATTATTACAATTTGATTTCCTCTATTACTAAGATCTAAGTCTATGATTTTTATTTTCATACATATCTTTTTTTTCAAAGTGTGTTAAAGCCTCCATGGTAAAAAATGTTTATGTGCATTCTTAACGCACTTTTAAAAAATTTTTCTAAGTGCGTTGAGTGTGTCCAAAATTTAACGCACTTTGAAAAATTTTACGCACTTTGAAAAAAATTTTCAAAGTGCGTAATTTTTTTCAAAGTGCGTTGCCACACACCACACTTTTGTTAAATTATGTTAATGCTCAAGATATCGACAACATAGATCCAAAATATGCATAATAAAACATGTAGCAAACTAGGGTATTCGTGACATTCGTACACAAATAGCAAAATGAAATTTTAAACCGTTAGACTTCTGTAAAAAGGCTATACGACAGGACGGGAAGAAACTTATCAACAAAAACTTTATCCAGACTGTAAAGAACGTGATTGAGAGTCAAAATATCACACTTTATCTCACAAATACTTGTAGCTTTTGATTTTAAACCAGAAAAAGAATATTCTTTACTTATTTAATAGATTTTAAACTTGACAAGAAATGATATTTGGATGTTGAGTAGATATAACTCAAACTGTACAGGTACTCTTGGGAAAATGTTGAGAAAATGAAAGTTATATCACAATGTGATTTTTATAATGCCTGTGACGTCGAAGATTCTACTGCTCCGTGACTTAATTATATCATTTTGATATGTCTTGAAAAATCACTCAAAATTGATACCAATTTACAACATTTTAATATGAAATTTGGAAGACCAGATAAGTAAAGATTCTTTTACATTATGTGTGACATTTTGCCCGATTATATCGTCAAATATTTTTCTTTGCAACAAGTCCGTGTAATTTTTGAACGGCCCTCGTACATTTACATTTGATAATTCTGCAAATCCGGTAAAGGAGGGGTGGGGTGGTGGTCGACCCACAATCTGAGCATCTTCCTTTTTTTTTACCTTAGCGGGGACACAAATTCTCTGAATTATTTCTGCCATAGTTTATTGCTTTGATATTTCTATATTATTGTATAGAATACTTTCTGTTTTAAGAAGTTTTCTTTAATGTTAATATCCACAAAAACGTACCGATATGTACCGATATGAAATCGTGATTGTTCAAAGGATTATTATCATGTACCGTTTCTAGCTGTTATTTGTGTATCTATATTTTAAATACTTCGCCTTTACAAAGATTGTATTATCGAAATCAAATCATGATTGTTCAAACATAATGCCTTACCAACTTTCACTCTAACACAAAACATTACTTTTAATCTAAGCCAAGACAATAACTTCTATATTTTCAGAATGCAATACTTGAGCATTTACAATTATGTGTTTTCTGATTAATAAGATGACTGTTGGAAAAACAAAGAGAAATAACTCTAAAATTTTGGTAAAACGTGTTTTTACGATAGAAATCTAAAGAAATTATTCCCGTGAAAAAAGTACATTTATAGGTACATGTACATGTAATATGAATTTTACAAATTCTTACCATAATAATCATAATAAAGTTTTTTTTCGTTTCACAGGAGGAGGGGAGGAGGGGGGCATTTGTTTACAGTCAACCCCCCCAAAGAAATGTTAAGTTTTTTATTAATTTGGAAAGGGATTACAACTAAAACAGCGTATTTTTCAATTATATATATTTAATTTATATATGCATAAAACGTAAGAAAATATTTCAGAAACTTTTATCCTCATAAAATTTATCCAAGAATATTTTAAAATATGCTAATGCTTTCACTTTCAAAAATTATTAGTTTTAAAATTATCATTCAAATCTAATGCATTCAACAAATATTTTCTTGCCAAATTGTCAATAGCATTAATTTAGGATCTACATGGGTTTAGAATGTAGACGTAATAGTGAGTTAGCGTACTAAACTCTTTCACCAAACTGTTGAAATGCTTACAACTCTTCATAGTTTATATCGTTTGCTATGTGCTCAAAATCGTTGCCATGGGATTATCCAGTTATAAAAAGAATTGAATAAGATACGAATTGCTTTCTTAAAATCTGCCTGACTCATTTTTTACAAAATGATTGAAGAATCTATAAAAATTGTGCATGAATGTGCTGAAATCATCATTCTATGATGTGTTGCTAAGGAGAAATTGCTGTTACCATGGAAATATGAAATCGCAAAATGGTCCCTAATTTGCAGAAAAGTCTCCAAATTTTAATTCTTGTAAAATTTATTTTCAAAATTTAAAAATAAGAAGTTATGTGGTGTATGATTACAGGATTTTACATTTTTTTCTCTTTTCATTCATAAAAACATCCATTTTTGTTGCTAGGCAACGGATAGGAAGTTAAAAAAATTATACGCTTCTGAATTCAAATTCTTAAAGAACAAATCCTCTGCTTTTACATTAGATAGACATGATGTCTGTATCAGGTCCATCATTTGAGTAAATCGACACCGAAAAATTCCAATATCAAAGAAATTGCTGAGTCAACAAAAAAGGAAAAACATGTATATATACCCATATCTATCATACAAATATCTTAAATCTTATTTCTATGTTTTTTATTGTGAAAGCAGTTAATATGCTTATCTTGAGAATAAAAGCAATAAAAAAGAAATTTCTCTATTAATTACATTTAATTAGTGCCCCAAAGATAAGGAATTTTATCGTCCATCCAAGTTCAAAATTTGCAGGTTACTAAGGAAATGTCTTTAACCACGTTTCCTTAGTAACCATGAACCAAAACATTTTTTATTTTACATACATGGTTCATAGTGCAAGGGAAATCTATATGTGGAAAATCATCAAATTCTGAGAACCCTCATATATCACCCTTTACACGGAGCTGTACTTAAATATAACTCGTTTTTAGTGATGAGGATTAATAATTTCCAATCTAGCTCAAAATAAAACGTATATTTTCAAGACATTTTAAGCCTTCGGGCAGCCTTATAATAACTGTGAAGTTATAAAACTGCAAACAAGAAAATTATAAGATCACAAAGAACATTATTTTTTCTTTGGTGAGAGAGAGAGAGAATACTCTTACCAAGAGAACTTCCTGTCATTGTTGTACATCTACTATAATGAAATGCCAAGGGCTGATGTGAAAATAACTTTAATGGGATTTGAAATGCTTCCTTGTTTCGTGCATATCGATATGATAAATTGAGTATCTCATAACTTAGAAATAAAGTTTAATTCTTTAAAGCGTTTGAAAGGGTGGGGAGAAATATTCGATTCAATTGTTTAGATATGATATGTGACACAAGATGAAATATTTTATAAAGAATTAATAAAGAGTATTTGTCTATTTTGTCTTTTCTCCTTTTGTATCGGTTATAATTCTTTTGTGTAAAGTGGTTTTATGACGTACTTAAAGAAAGATTATCTAGATCTATCAGGAGGCATTCATAAAATGACAAAAAAGCTCCCTTTTACTTTAACAGCTACGATTACTCAACTTAATGTACGTCACGAAGGTTACATTTTTTGTTACCAAAAAATATAACAAATGATGATCAGAAAGTCAGCTGTAAATTGAATTTTAACATTAAGAGACGTCAGAGACATCCTTTTTTAAAATCGTGAATATATGAAAAATTAAATATCATACATGTACACGGCAATTAAAAATTAATCTATTTTTTCCCAAATTAGCAATAAAATCTGGAAGTAAGTAATAGATAAAAATATTGAAATCACAATAGGTATAGGGGGAAAAAACTGGTAATTCTGAAAGAAAAAGAATATTATCGTTTTTTGAAAAATCAATTTGCACAAACAGATGTGTTAAAAAAACAGACTAAAAAAAGATAATTTCAGCTATCTATAGCAAATAAGGAAATGAATAATTTTCAAGAATTCAGGGAACCGACAACAATACATGTATGTACATCCAAACATTTTTGTATTTCGGTCTGTCCTTGTATTTTTAAACGCCCGGATCGATAGATCCAGGGCGTATATTGTTTTTATCTTGTCTGTTTGTCTGTTCATCTGTTTGTCTCTTTATCTGTTTGTCTGTCCGTCTGTTGTCAACTTTAACCTTCGCCATAACTTTTGAACCATAAGAGATACAGACTTCATATTTGGTATGCATACTCCAAGAATAAAGTTCTTTCAAATGACATCAAGGTCAATGACCTTGTTAACTTGACTGTGACCTATATGCTAAAAATATCTTTTTCGACTTTTTGCCATAACTTTTGAACTATGGGAGACAGGGTCTTCATATTTGGTATGCATACTCCACTAATAAAGTTTTTTTTAAAATGAAATCAAGGCCAATGACCTTGTGACTTTGACTGTGACCTATATGCTAAAAATTGCTTTTTCGATCTTGTTGCCGCCGAGCGCATAGTGTTTCACAAACACATCTTGTTTATTATTATTTTGACATCGAAAACACGAACTGTTAGATTGTAAGGTTACTTGGTTACTTATTGAGGTCCCAGTGATACTGTGTAACAGTTACAGTTTCGTTCAATTTCATTCAGCCTTTTTTAAACCAACGTGCCTTGCAGGTTGGGTACGTACGTAAAACATATACAAACACGGTAAATATCAGACATTTATTCATTAAAATATAAGATTGTCGACAGTGTCAGGCAATGATAATTAAGAAATAAGGTATCATTTTTAAACATCTAAATACAATATAAATACGGGTTGGTCACGAGATTAAATTCCATAAAGCCCGAAGCAGACCTGTTAAAACTTTATTTGTTAGCTACATGTATCTCATTTATTGACCCAGCTTAAAAGGAAGCATGCAGATGCCTCCTTGCAAAATATAATAACTTACTGCTGTAAGAAATGTATCTGTAGACCCCTAGGTAAATGCTAGCTGATTTTTTTAACAATTCAAAATGTGCCAAAATAATGTGAATACGATATTTTAATATTCGTGTATCAAATTTATCATATAGAAATGTCCTTAGTTTGATCTGCTTCTTCTTTTTAGATCAATTGTCCATATTTATAAAGGAAGGTACAGTCGGAAGGATATACTCATCTTGTGTATATCATTTTATTTGTAGGGAAGTTCTACATTGTTCATATAAGGTATTACAATGTAATTCCTCATGAAGTTGTTGAATCATGGTGGGCATGGTCATAAATGCCCAGGTTATTTTCGTCCTTTACTTCATTAAGATGGTTATACAAGTCCTCATTATTTTTCGGTACATTTGTGACTGTAGAATATTCCTTGTCTTCATCGTCAAGGGGTTCTTTTTGATCTCCTTTCTGTTACCATGAAACAAATTAAAACACATAATAAAAAAATAAACACTTAAACATTTTCTTGAATATTGTATGAAATAATGGCACAGACAACTTACACTTTTTCCGATTTCTATTTCAAAACTATATTTATTTTCATACTGCACTTGCAAGTCGCTGAAAAAAAGATCAACAGGGCTTGATTGATTTTATTTTTCATTTATCTGAGAAGAACGTGTATAGTAGTGAAGGGAAAATAATTAAGTACTTTGCTCCACTATAGAAGGATTTTTATCGTGGCAAAATGTGAAACGGGACTCGGTTTTCTATTAATTTGTTTTGGCCGAAAGACGTGCACATTTTAATTAAAAAGTACCAGGCACTACGTACGGGAAAGAATACTGTAAACCAACTTTTATTCGCGACGGCGAATTTAATTGGTTTAAGGGTACTTACCACAAACAAAAAATGGATGCGCGGGTTGATATATATTTTTTGACTGATTTTGATTTGTATTGATACATGTACTTTGTAGACAGGTTTTACAATGCCAAGAACACCTTTCATCTTCAACATTTAAAAAAGAGAAAACCAGGGGACACTTCCAAGCAGAAATCATTTTCTAGAGGCAGCAGCTGAAAACAGAGTGGACAGTCAGTTGGATTCAACATTGCAAGTATGTACTGTACTCTAACAATCCTCTATTAAAATTAATGTCCAAATTACTGTAACTCACTTCTATTCTCAATGACCGTATAGTGAAGGACAGCGCCGCGAGAATTCCATCGGCATCGAAAACAAGTTTTTTTTTTTTACTTGCCTAGATAGCCGAGCGGTCTAGCGCACTGTTCCTGTACTGCTAGGAGACAGGTTCCGAAGGTCGAGAGTTCAACCGCGGGCTGAGGCAGAAGTGGGTATCCATATAAAAGTGAATTTCTTTGTGCTTTCTGTATAAATGTATATATATATATATATATATATATATATATATATATATATATATATATATATATATATATATATATATATATATATATATATATATATATATATATATATATATATATATTTCAGTTCATCTTAAATTGAAAAGGAAGCTTTTTTTTTAACATTTCCGTCTTAGTTTTCTATTTGTAAAAAATTGAAAAAATCTTTCATTTTCATGGTTTCGTATCAATTCAAATACGAGTAAACCCCTAAAATTGATACTTCTTTCCTTATTTTTTTTTCAATGAACTCCCCACGACCAAATTGAAATTCAAAGAAACGCATCATAATTATGAACGTCTAAACAAAAATTGTACAAATATATAGGATTTAAAACTTGCTTTTCTAGGTCTGTTCTTTAGTCTATGGATGTTTTAAATCTTGATAAAAATCTAACCTTGATTGATCCTTCAAGCTTTTTTGATTTTTTTTTAAAATGAACATTACAACAGCCCAAATTCCCAAGCCTGTACCGAGCCCACCAATAGCTGCACCAACCACATGTCCAATATCATATCCATCAGTTTTGTTTTCTATAAAGAAAATATTTTCAGATTTTCGTATTTTGGGGTTTCCTTATTTCTTTGTGTGCGTTGTTTAACGTCCCTCTCGAGAATATTCACTCATATTGAGACGCATCCTCACAATGTCAAGGGTTTGTGATTTCTCGAACTCCACACAAATGTGGAGTTCGAGAAATCACAAGCCCTTGACATTGTGAGGATGATGGAGACGCCACCACTTGCAAACGTAGAGCTGCAAATTTTGTCCTATATTTCAGCCACGCAGGTGACTGGAATAATTGTAGATAAGATCAAAGGAAATATTTATTTTAATCTCTTAAATTGGAAAATGGTAATTATTTTGATTAATTTACATGAATCTTAAACAAAAAAGTATACACAGCTCACATTGCATTACAAAAAAAAAACAAAACTTTTCACTGTAACATATATATGAAATAGCATTTCGAGATAACAAACTAATTTCTTTGACAATATCATGCTTCGGAGTTAAACTATCTGAAAAAGTTTCTTAAATCCATTTATGCTGCAATTAAACGATTTATGATAAACGAATAAGTAAATTTAAGTGACCGAAAGTCATTGAAGATTGTCGAAAAACGAAATCGACAACATTTTATAAAAAGACCTGAACAACCCCTGCCCTAAATAGATTTATGGTTTCATTTATAACGAAATCTGCCGTTAAAGCTCTACTGACATCATAAAATAGCCGAGAGTGTAAACAAATAGCCGCCATATTTCATCGATAGACGCCATATTAGTTTGTGTTCTAATGTTACTTTCTAATTATGTATACACCCAAATCATCGTCACGCACCAATGCATTTGTCCAGTGACCAAGTACACCATGTACCTCGAAGTGCCGGTGACTGTAAATAGCGATAACAAACCTATCGCGAATTTTGCAATAGGTAAAGTTGCAAAAAGACCAGAACACATCGTTATAGCATCCAATATAAGAGAGTTGCAGTAAATATATGCACAAAACACACAAGCACAACAAATAAGAGTGCTCACTTCCGAACGTGACCGACACCGCATGGTCATGCATGCAAACTCTAGGTCAATGAAACGTTTGTTTACAGTCAAGCGTTTCAAAGCATTGATCGGGGAGCAGTAATTATTTGTAAAATGAAAGAAGAAATCCAATATTTGCATGAAAAACGTACTTGTTAATAAACTTCACAAGGAAACAAGGTATAATTCCCCATATTTAAAAAAACATATTCCTGGATTGCATATGAACAGTTAAAACATAAAGGGGTTAAGCCTGTAGACCTGAAAAGGGGGGGGGGGGGTAGAGAGGTATACATTCTCATTGATGGCTAAAAATGCAGCCATTTAAATGATTTTACAAAGGTTTAATATTTTTTCAATTAATAATTTTGATACTTTAACCATTCCTTTCTTTATTTCTACTCTGGAATGTATAGGTGTGCCAAGAACAAAAAAAATGATAACATTTCTTATTTTTTTATCACACATATGACTGTTTAGGAAGAATTACCATTTTGAAAGGAAAAGTAATTATTTGCACATATTCAGTAGGTAGTTTGGAAAATTATATGTGCAATTAACCCTGCTCCTAAAGATCTTTGATGAGTGAAGTCTTCATAGGAATTTTTCCTGAATGTTAGAATATAGTTTTATTCCAGTAATTAAAAAACAAGTTTATGAATAAAATGTATTTTATTCATTCTTTTCTTTTCTCTCTATCTTTTTTACAGAAGTAGAAAAGTATCAAAGAATCAAACAATGTGTCTTGTTTGGCAATGAAAAATATTCTCAGCCATAAATGATGCTCACAATATTTTATAGCAATTTTTTTTATCGGTACATAAACAATTCCATAATTATAAATTGTAAAATGATTATTATTAAAATGTTAGGTACATGTAACTGACAAAAAATGAAAATTGTCCACTAAAATTAATAAAATTGTGATACTGTCAGTTCATAAAAATTATTCACAATTCAATTCCAAAAGTTGAAAACAGAAACAAAATAAAATGTTCATGCACATTTGTTTACAAATTGATTTCATATACATATACATGTATAAATAATTCCAAACCATTGAAAATATAAGATTTTTCATACGTTACCAAAATTTAAACAAGGAATACATATATACATATTACATATTTCAATGGTGTTGATAAATTGAAAGTTATTAAAAATGTAATATGTTAATGAAAATAAAAGTACTAAATATAAATTTTAAAAGTAAAAAGATCCTATGAGAAATAAAGCACATGTATTATGAAATTTAACATTTACTGGTACTTTCCCTGTGAAAAAAGGCAAATTTTAAACCTGCGATGCAAGAGAAGAGGTTGTACATGTACCAATTGCCAAAATCCTTGCTGTCCATTCAAATAAAACACAAGTATGCAGGAAGTATGATGTATTATTATCTTATACATAGGTTGGCTATCTGGTAATGTTATGATGTTCACTCTTCCTCTATGATAAGGTCCTCCTACATCAGAATTGGTATACATGTATTTCGGAGATCTCACAATTACTGTTGTCAGCTTATTACCATCCTTATGCTAGCCAGAGCACAATCAATGTCACCAGGGGACACTTCCAAGCAGAAATCATTTTCTAGAGGCAGCAGCTGAAAACAGAGTGGGCAGTCAGTTGGATTCAACATTGCAAGTATGTACTGTACTGAAAATATATTATCAAGTTTTAATGCTGCTTCAATGAACTTTTTTCAACGGTTAAAGAATTAAAATTACAACAAAATCATTTTCATTTTAATGTATTAAAAAACTTAATAACATTTTATCTCATATATTTCTTTTTTTTTCATTCTAGTAAATATTTTTATTACTATATTTGTAGGATATTTTAACACAAGTGGATGAAAAGCATCAAGTTTTGAACAAAGCTGTAGAGGCAGAAACAGATTTTATTATATCTTATATCCAAGGTTCATTACAGTATGAAAACTCCAGTTCAGAAATTGCATGGTGTTTTTATGGAGAATGAAAAGTATTTTAAGATCCTCGCATCCTATGCTGTTGTCAATCTCCATGCATACGTCTCCATATCAGTGAAATATTCTTGAGAGGGACATTAAACAGTATACAATCAATCAATCTCCATGCATTATCCCAAAAACCAGAGTTTAGAAATCTGTGTTTGTTGCATGAGGTTCATCATTCTGAACAAGAATTTTCATAATAATCTTGAACCCCTGTTTGCACCCTCTGCCTTCAGGAACCAGGAAAATGTGATTTTGTTTTGTGGCAGCATGGTCCTCTTGAAGCAGGAAGGAGAGTTCCAGAGCCTTCTTGTGTGAAAGTGGCAGTTAGGAGGAGGTTTCCCTAAACTAGATGGAGCATATAGATGCTATCTATCATTCAACTAATTCTGACTCTCAAAAAAAACATAAGTTTTTTAAAACTTACCACACTTTTTTCTTCTTTTCATTTCTGAAAGTAAAAGCCTTGATCCAGGATTTAGGAGGCCTGATAAATTGGCAGAAATGCTGTCATGGTCTTTGGAATTCTTACTCCTTGTATTACATGCACAAGGACTCCATTATACTGCCTTCAAGTTCTAAAAGTAAATTTAGAACATTTCCTTTAATACCTTTATGAACAAAAAATTTATCAAATAAACTAATAGCTATACAAGTGATCAGTAAAATTGAATGTAAAGCAAATGATATAAATTTACACCCTTAGAAAAACATATGTGCATATATATATCTGTATATAATTCATTAAAGTTTTTAAACATTATAAAGGTTACTAAATTGAAATAACTCAAAATAATTAAAATTCATATTGCATAAAATTTAATACCTGCAATATATGTGTATTCTTTATTTGACTTCTTTTAATACACAATCCACTGCTTGGTTTTCTGTTAAACCTACTGCACAGCAACCTAATTCCTAAAATTGCACAGTCGTGTAATACCATATAAAATGTATGAAATTACTGTATTTTTTATTTTGTCCTTGATTTATATTCATATCACTGCATTGACTTTACATGAGACTTGAAAACTTTATTCTTGCTTCTGAATAAAATTTTTTCCAAATATAATATGCCCAATATGAAGACAAACTTTTATCAAAAATTAATGCCGAAAATATTGCAATAAATGAGAGGTTTTCTTTTCTTGAAAATGTAGAGAAATCTAATCATGACAAGCATTACTGGTAAAACATACTCTATACTGAAGTTGCATTCTGTAGATGTGTCTTGCTGATCCTTAAGAAAGATCAATAAATTTGGCGCCAACGGTAAACTGATCCCATGATACCCCAAAATGAAGGACCAGAAGTTGCAGCAAGATTGCAAAAGCATTTCTCTCTCCATAAAATTGTGTAGACATCCATTTTCCTACATGACCCTCCTGCAATAAAAATGAAATGGTAAATGTGGAATTCTGTTAAGTAATACATGAAAAACTGTATATTTATATTTTTTTTATTATTTCTCATATTCAATTATGCTTCTCTCTTTGTAAGGCCTAAAATTTCTTTTTTTTTCAAGCTTCTAAAAGACATTATTGATAATTTTTTTTTCATTCTGTCTCTTTATAATTTTGATGGTTTATAATGTAGCATGTTTCTTTACTATTCATTAACAAATCCTTTTTTTAAAATCATGAATAACACTACCTATTAATCATTTCTTTAAAGTAATTTACTTCATTATAGCAATGCAATGCATATGTTAATGAAATGTAGGATTGAAGTTATCCTCAAAACATCTTACTCTGAATGTTCTTTTCATTATTAAACATGTTCAACTTTAGAAATGAGCTTCAAACTGGTATGCAATACATGTACCCACATATGTACTGTGCAGGTGAATTAATGTTTACTCCTGCAGCTAGTTTCTCTGCCTCAACAACAAAGAGCAGAGTATTGGTCCACCTCACTCTTTGAAACATGCTCCTTTTAAGCAGGTCCAATATTTTCCTCTCTCCAACAATAAATCATCTATCTGAAAGGGTATCCACCTCCATCTTGTCATATTAATCAGTATTCCTTGAAAGAAAATATACAAGAGAAAATATTCAAATTGTTTAACTTTTAAATCTTTCATGTTACATGCTACAGTAGCAATAGATATGTAAATCAAGACAAACAAAAAAAACCACTGTAATTTACATGAATATTTAACGGTAACAAATCACTGCATCCAGTTCCTTAGAGTTTGAGACATTTTAATCATATCAAAAGTCAGTAAAATTTTGAAATTATACCACTGTGTAGTAAATTGCATACTAATGTAGTAATAACATAAATTTAGGGAATCACTTTTTAGCCTGTTGGGTATGCCAGGACATCAACAATATTAGCAATGTGCATATAATTTGCATACAATTTTGTCTAGACTAATAGATTTAAATCACATGGATCCTCTCTCTCAATTTCAAAAGTCCCTCTCCACTGAGGTTAGACACAAATGAGGCCTTCTCAGCTGCTGATCTTTAACTTAGCGAAATTTTCATTCCAGTGAAATTATCAAGAAATCAACTCACATAACTCTCAAAGAAATATCACAGAGAAAACAAATAGAAATGGAGATAGAGTCATAATGTTTGTGACATTCTATACCATCATTTTATATGATTTTTATTGTGAGGTAAAAATGAATGTAACATATCTTTCCTACCTTTGTTTTACTCTATTTACAGCAGATGCTGTTTTTATAGTTATAAAAAAGTACTAAATTTGTTACTAATTCTTCATTACAGTGTGTCGCCCACTTCGCGAAATGGTTAGAGCATCTTCTCTAGAGTCGTGTACTAAGGAGTCAATCCTTACGTGGCGGGCTCGAATCCCACTGTAGGACGTGGATACCGGTCCTTTGGATTAGACCGTATAAACTGAGGTCCTGTATCGCAATAGGTGCTGCATGAAAAAGATCCCTCCCTGCTTAATAGACCTAAGACAAAATTTGCAACTCTCCACCAGCAAGTGGTGGCGTCTCCATATGATTGAAAATTTTCAAGATGGACGTTAAAAAATATACAGTCAATCATTAAATCAATCAATCAGCGTGTGCCATTCACAAACCTTGATATATATCTTTCCACATCTTATATTCATCGCCCCCCAGCCGGCCGCCTCTTCTTCATCACTTTCACCATTGTCATCATCCTTATAACCAGAAGATCCAAATATAGCATCTCGTTCATGATCTCATTTATTTGATTAGTATATCCTGTGTGTTTAAAAGATAATGACAGCTTGATATTACTGCAATATTCATATAAGACAAATCAAATAATTAATTATTCTGATTTCTTCAATCATAAAAAAAACTGACAAACAAATCCCAAAATAGATTGGGTTAGGCCATAACTGAATGCAAATACAGCATGTGTAAATATTATTATTTGCAGCTGCATGGTCAAGTCTGCAATGCACCTATTTCACTTGCATTAAAGGGAATAAATGAGTTAATCAGAAAAGATAGATGAATATTACTTGCTTGTAGCTTAGCAGTGCACAGATGCTTTAATACTTTTCATTTTTGCATTCTAGGACCTAGTTAGTACCTACATGTTCATGATGTTGTGCTCCGGGTGCTCGGTTTCTTCATCGTCACAATAACTGGCATTGTCCGAAATATCGATGTTCATACTGCTGACACTCTAAAGCAATATAAAACGATTTAATTTTACAATTCGCCAACAATTGTACTTATCTATTGTCACTTTTATTCGTGAACAGCTATAATAATTGATCCCCTGTGTTTACACATGTGCTTTTGGATCTACAGTGTACTTTCATTTTCACTCCAGTCTTTCCTTTGCGCATGGGCAAGACATAACACGGTCAAATCGTGCTGAGTGCAGAAGTGTCGTCGGTCGGTCAGCTGAGGTCCTGTCACA